TAGATTTTTCTGAAACTTACAGAATAAGCTTGTTTTAGTATTCTGAACATATATACTTTGAAGCTCAGTACTCGTTGCGGGATTAAAAATCGAGATATTCCACTTCAAAGTTGAAACGTTTAACACAGAATCCCTATCTAAAGCTTATTCGAAAGTGGTTTTTTATTCACTGTAAACAAAGTTTTCTTTAGAATTTTTTGAAACAAAGAGACATAAAACTTGATATTACAAGGAATAATATGAAATTTTCCTGAATATGCCTTCCGGTATTTATATTTAAGAAATCATTTAACAAAGTAAGTAGCTCGGCTATTTTTTCGACCGGTGGCAGTAGCGAAGGCGAGAGGTATTGACGACTTGGCAACGTCGCGTCGTATACGCTCAACACGTGACGCGTGACAACACAAATAACCTCGTACTTTCTCAGGGTAGCGATCACGTAATTTCAGCAAAAAATTAATAAGATGATGCAATACCCGTAGCAGGGCAGACACTGTCCATAACCTTACTAACACAACACAAAGCGCAGAGCGAAAAAGCAGCGTTGCCGCACTGAGTGACGCAGTAGGATCATTTTTACACTTCTGCGCACACGGTGATACTCTACTAATATTTTCTGTGTGTAGGGGCGATTGCGTGGACGCGAGTAAACTTTAGGTTGAGCACAACTGCAGTCGGAGAACGTCCTTAACTAAATTAGGAAACAATGAAAAAATTTATAATTAATATTTAATAAAAGAAAATCAAACGGAAATGGAATTATGTACTGGTATATTTGTTAACTAGGCTAGGAAATAATAATGACAAGCAATTTATTCGATAAGGATCCCCATTTGTTTATATTTAAGACATAAATCATAAAGATTAGAAAGAGAAACTAATTGTAAGATGCATTATTTTACAGTAATATGAACAGTAATATTACACATATTGTTTCTTATACATTCATACAATAATTATACTATATGTTTATAATATTCTAAGGGCGATCGTTACCAACGCCGATTAACTCAATCAGCAGTCATCTTATTATAGATAGACGTTATCACAGTTAAGTAGGAACGCAGAAATGGAAGTATCCCAGCTAACACAAAGTTACATGTTACGTACCGTTAGTTGTAATTTCCTACTCAACAATATAACTATAATATAACACGTGTTTTATATTGCAATTATATTGTTGAGATGGAAATTACAAGTAACGAGTACGTTACATGTAACTTTGTATTTGCTGGGATATTACAAAGATAATAAAAATGATATAGAGACTTACTATTTGCTTTACTGCTGATGGAGTTAATCATCGATAAAGTTAATCAGCGTTAGTAATAGTCGCCCTTAGTAGTCTCAAATAATCTTGCCTTGTATTAATTGGCAGTTACACAAACTATTTCTATTTCTTATACATTCATGTTAATGTAAAAAAATTTTTAGTTGGAAACACTGGTAGTGTCTCGACGCTAAGCCAAGCGCAGCGACACTGTCGTGGCTACTTTACGCGAATCTGTTAAAATTTCCAGACGGCGATTATGGGATCTCAATAACGGCTGTGCCGATTGAGTTCTAAGTGTGCTCAATCGATTGCATCCGTTCGGAATATATAATGAAAATGTTTTTGTTTTTTCTCTACGTACTCTACGAGCGGAGATATTGCGATGCAAAATGATGCAAAATCCGAACTTGAAACTTTTAATTTAAGAAACGTCGGCGTCGTCGTCGTCGTCGTCGACAGGGGTGGGGGAAATGTCCTTTTGGATTTTTTGGCGCTAGAGGCAAATATGGCGCTGGCAATGGTCGCGTTCAGCAGACTCAACTGTTGTGGAGCGGATCCGTGAGCGCTCACTGATCATGATCCGAGTCTGCTGAACGGGTCTGATCATTATTGTCACGTGATCATATTTTCTATAACGATTATAACCTTATTTTAAGCGGCTACGGCATCAAATCACTGTAAGTGTATGCGTTCCTCACTGCTAGGTATACCATGTATTTGCTACATTATAAAATCAAGTGAATTAGATTTAGTTTAAAAATAAACATTAGGCAAATATTACTTAATGACAAAAGTGGTTATACAAATAAATATGAGCTATAAGGAGAATTAAACCACGCACTAGTTGAAATTAGTGATAAATTTAATTTATTACATTTGTTAAATATGTGTTAGTAGACATTTCGACCAACATCTGGTCATCTTCGGTACATTAATGATTCTTCTCGCGTGTTATATATATCTCAACAAACATGTATTCAACGACAATCGAGCATAAGCTATCGAAACAGATTCTGTCATGATTTATAAAAGAAATTGTTGTCGAAGAAATAATTGCTGTACACTCACATTGGGTAAGCAGTTCTCATATGGACAAAATAACAGGTATTTTTAACAAAATTAAAAAATTAAATTTAGTTCTGTCCAATAAATTACTAATTAAGTAAATTTTATTAGAATTTGGAAGTTCTTGTTAATGTGATCCATCTCCTTCTTGATGACAAATTATAACTCAGACGAATAACGAAATTAACTCGTATTAATACAGAAATTTAATTAAAAATTAATCTATTTATACCGCTATGTAATATGTAATCAAATTACCATTAAGTCATTAATGTACCGAAGATAACCAGATGTTGGTCGAAACGTCTACTAACACATATTTAACAATTGTAATAAATTAAATTTATCGCTAATTTCAACTAATGCGTGGTTTAATGCTCCTTATAGCTCATATTTATTAGGCAAATAATTTTAAATTAGTATCCATTTGTATATCTGTTGATTTAATCAACTGCTTATCCTTCTCTCTACTTCTCAGAAATAGAGAAAGATAAACAGTTGATTAAATGGAGATTAACATTAGTAGAAATGGACATAGTTCACTTCATGTAATTATTAACAATTTCTACTGTATCCGAACATTTTGTTTTATTGCGTTTTTTATATATTTTAGTTATTATATTATTAAATAAGAATATTTCAATATACATGCAATATGGAGAATTTAGATATTGTTGCTTTACTTGAAGATGATGGTCATAATGACCGAATAAACGTATTGCACTTTATGCTTAATGAATTAATCGGACCGTTACCAAAACTGGATGAACTAGAAGTGAGGCAACGTGGTGAAAAACCTAGAAATCGTAATTATTACGAAATTATTGTTCCTCAATACGACGTTGTTTTATTTAAGGAGCATTTTAGAATGTCTCGTGCAACATTTGAAGTAAGTATATAATAAATTTTATAAAATTACTAAAATGTTTAAAGATTAATTTCAATATTCAAATCAATTGTGGAAATTTTTGTAGGTGCTAGTTCACATAATTGGAAATTCCATACATGGGAATTAAAATTACCTCATGGATTTAAGAAAAAAAATTATATTTTCATTGTGGATTTTGTCTAAACCTGAAAGTTTCCTCGCTGCTGGAGATCGCTTTGATTTACCAAAAAGTACTGCTTACTACGTATTCAAAGAAGTTATCACCATTATAGCTAACCTCTTACCGAATTATATTACGTGGCCTGATAGACGAACATATCATAATGTGGAAGAGATTTTTCTAAGACGTTCTCGGGGATTTCCCGGTGTTATTGGGGCAATTGATGGTTGCCATATTCCAATAAAAGCTCCTGTAGACAACCCTATAGACTTTTATAATATATAGAAACAAGATACACTCGATTATATTACAAGGTGTATGCGATCACAAGGCAAGTTTTATAGACGTTTTCATCGGAATGCCTGGACGAATGCATCGAGTATTTAGGCAGAGCCTAAAAGTTGTTTGTACGATTAAATAATGCTGAAAATCCTTTGCTACTCTTTAATATGCATCTTATAGGGGATTCTGCCTATCCTTTAATGCCAAATCTTATGACACCGTTTCGTGATAATGGTCATCTAACGAGAGCGCAAAGTAATTACAATATTAAATTAAGTATGATCAGAAATATTATCGAAAGAGCATTCGGTCTTTTGAAAAACAAATTCCGAAGATTAAAATATTTAGATATTTCCGACCCGACTTTGGGAAATGCTATCATAGCAGCAGCGTGCGTCTTGCATAATTTTTTAATTGATCGAAATGAAATTAATTTCGAATATGAAGCACCAATCGAAGAAGCAATGGCAATACCAAACGACGATATAGATATACCAAATGATAATATTCTTGCGGTAACGAAAAGAAATGAAATAGTTCATTTATTACAATAATAAGAAAAAGAAATTTCTTTGAAAATAAATTTTGTATGTTTATATTAATACTCAATTTATTTTATTACAATACTGTATGATATTACATTAAGAATTCATTTGACGAAAAACTAATGGGCGTTTTCCAGCAAGATAATACGATATATTAAGTAACAGCAAAGAAAATTGTTTATTGAAAAAACTAAATGTATCTTTTGAATGTTAATTCTAACTAGAACTGTATTGAAAATTTAAACTTGTAGCATTTATGTATTCTTTTTTCCTTCATCATATTGATTGCTTCTCAAAAGTAAGAATTGTTCTATCAACTTGTTTCTCTCTTCTTGGATTTTATTACTTCAATCTATGGACGACTTGAGTTGTAACATGGTGTCGAGGCGTTTTTCTTCGATGGTTATTTGTTTTTGTCGTAGTTTATGTAGCGTACTCATTCGAGCTTTTCCCAATGGTTCAGATATTTGCGTTACACTAGCACAAGGACTTGCAGAGGAACTTCTTGTTGAAGAACGGCTAAGTGGACTTTGACCAATTGGCTGAAAAGGTAATATTGACGAAGTAGCAGATGTGTTCAAACTATTACAAATATTAGAGAAATCTGAAACTTGTGTTAAGGTGATTACTTCATTATCATCCTGAGAAGATTCGCTTGCGATTATTTCATTTTCCTTGCATCGAAGAAAGTGTTGAACTGTAGTTTATTGTCATGTCATTGGCAAATACCTATGTCTTCAAAAGTATCGAAGTACTCCCATGAAATTCGTCCTCCCCCTACCAGTGCTAGTTTTTTTATTATTATTATCCTTTATATTTTTATAAGATTTTTTCATGTTGCGCATCTTTCAATCAAGGAGATCTTCATTTAAGTCACTATAACCATTTTCTTTCATAATTTGAAGAATTTCGGTCCACAAAACCTTTTTTTTAACTTTAGGATCGCGAAAACGATCTTTACGTTCCAAATAACTGTTCAAAAGCAATTTTGTTGATCGCTGAGTCCACAAAAAATTCTTTATTTCAGATCCTATAAGTATACAAAAAATATATGTTATATATTTATTACTCTTCTAATAATAAATTGATTAGATAAAGATTTTTACATACCAGTATTTGTATTGTTAGTAGTATCATCTATAACAGAATTCAAAATTGGAGCAGTTGTGCTATCGTCAAAATATTTCGACAAAAAAACCGCATCTAAAAGGTAATTATTGTATTGTTAAATCGTTGACACACACACACACACACACACACCGCGCACACGCACACACACACAGTAACAGTATTGAAATAAAATAAATCTTAAATCAATTTGCGCAGAGAAAATTCCAATTGTAGACAAAAATGATTACACATAATTAAAATATAGACGTTCTTAATAAAATAATGGGTAAAAAGATAGTAAGTACTAAGTTATAAATAAAATAATTGAAAAATAAGTAATATGTTATACACTTACCAGACTGTAGTCTTGAGTGAACCTCATGGGTGTCAGTAACAGAATATTCTGCATTATTGACGATATAATTAATACTATATGTCTCAGTGTTAGGATTCTCATTTTCCATGATTCATAATCAGTACAATACTGCAACATAAAGTTATCGATTGATAACCAATTAATAAAGCGAGTCTATTATTTTTAGGGTCATTATTGCAAAATTCTTTTAATTCTGTGGAGGATATATATATAAAAAATTGTTAATCATTACAAGACATAAACTATATCCATTTCTACCAATGTATGTTGATAATAATCTCTATTTAATCAACTGTTTAGGTTTCTCTATTTCTGAGAAGTAGAGAAGGATAAACAGTTGATTAAATAAGAAATAAAATTAACAGACATACAAATGGACACTAATTTAAAACAATTTGTCTAATGTTTGTTTTTAAACTAAATCTAGTTCACTTGATTTTATAATGCAGCAAGTACATGGCATACCTAGCAGCTACAAACGCAGATACTTAGAATGATTCGATGATATAGTTGCTTTCTTAGGCACAAACGTCTATCATATATCACAGATCAAAGTTTTTATGGACGAAACTATTGTAGAGGATGTAATATCTCGCAAAGAAAACGACAAACAAACTGGAGAAAACTAAATCTGAAAATGTAATTAAAAATTGTCGAATACAAAACTATAATTGTTAATAATTACAAGACGCAAACTAAGTCCAATTTCTAGTTCAAGTTTCTACCAAGTTTCTAACTTCTAACCTCGAATTTGTGTTTATACCTTACACGTGTATGCCGCCATATTGTTTTATAACATGTTGAGCTGAAGTAGCAGAGAAAAAGTTTGATGGAAAAAATGGCGTCCGCTTACTAAACATGTTGAGTATCGGTTACTGAGTGGAGTGCGTTCAGCAGACTTTTGTGCAACAGTCTCCTCTGGAGATCTGTTGCATCGACTTTAATTATAACAATAACAATTAATAACTCGATTCGCGGTAGTGCGAAAATTCGTCGAATGATTTTATCAACCTCGAGGAGGTTCGACCTTGTACATACATTATTATGTAACTTGTAATTTAAAGATACGTTTCATGATGCATTTCTTGTCGAAGTTTGTCTCAAATGCAATTTACACAAAGATGTTTGGAACAAAATTTGGAACTTTGTCAAATTCATTCACGTGTGGTTTAGATATCTGTTTATCTGCAACGAACAATTTCCCAAGTCTGCCAGGAGCTATTGCATATCAAGAAGATTTTTCTCAAATGGAAAATTTACGAATATGTAATAAAGTATAAACACAAGTAATATTATATTTCATTCCTTCCGCAAATTATCTAATTATTATTATGTATGATTCACGAAGATAATAAGAATGATATACAGACTTCCTGTTGGTTCATATTACTATAATTATTATATTATAACTACATTTATAATATTCTAAAAGCAACAGTTACCAACCTCGATACTCAATCAGCAGTCATTCTATTAAAGACAGAATTAAGTAGGAACTCAGAGTTTAAAGTATATCATGAATATAATAATAAGAACGATATACAGACTCGCTGTCAGCTATATTGTTGATTGAGTTAATCGATTAAGTTAATCGGCGTTGGTAACAGTCGCACTAAGTAGTTTTAAACAATCTTGCCTTACATTAATTGACGATTATACACACTGTTTTTACTTATACATTCATATAATAATTATACTATGTTTATAATATTTTTTATCAATATTATAAACCATGAGCATAAATTACAAACGTTTCGACATCATTATTAAATGTAGGAATAATATATACTAGATATAGTAAGCGTCCCAATGAAATAAAGCAAAGTTGCTTACTATATCTAGAATATGGTTTATACATTTGAAGCAAACACAATAATGATGTCGAAACGTCTGTAATTTATACTTATGATTCATAATATATGACATTTTGCAAAAAACATTTTGTTGGCTCACATTGATAATTCTCTCTTAATTAATTTCTGTCATCATGGTGAACATTGTTGTCTTAAATTTATAAAAAAAGCGCTAAGCGTTGGTGAAACTGATAACTAATCACGTTTGCTGTTTAGTAAAACTAATGATATGTATCATTTGTATAAAAGATTTGATATCAACAATTGGCGCCAAGTTAAATTCCATGTAATTCCAACAAATTAAATTTTACCATTTTATTCCTCCCAAAGAAAAAATAATAGTAACTTTAATTTTTTTCTTAATATTTAACTCTAATGATATGTATCATATTCGTATAATTAATTATCAAATTAATTAAATTCTACCAAATTAAAAAGTAAAATCCAATCTTTTTTTTTATTATTTACTTAACTGTAATGATATGTATCATGTGTATGAAAGATTTTCTCTATGGAATTTTAAAATTATATACAAATTTACCTATTTCAAAAAAAGGTAAAAAAAGCGCTAAGCGTTGGTGAAACTGGCCCAAATGGTGCTTCTCGTAAAGAATCACCATTTGGGTCAGTTTCACCAACGCCAATTACATAATCGGCCGTGAAACGGATAACTAATCATGTTTGCTGTTTAGTAGAAGTAATGATATGTATTATTTATATAAAAGATTTGATATCAACAATTGGCGCCAAGTTAAGTTCCATGTAATTCGAACAAATTAAATTTTACCATTTTATTCCTCCCAAAGAAAAAATAATTTATTTAACTCTAATGATATGTATCATATTCCTATAATTGATGACATCAACAAAATTGGCGCCAAGTTAAATTCATCAAAATTTTATTAAAATTTTATCATAAAAATTTTATGTATTATTCCTATAAAAGATTTGATATCAAGAACTGGCGC